CATCACACACACACACACACACACACACACACACACACACACACATACACACACACACACACACACTTCTCCCTGGAGTTAGATCCCAGTTCTGTGGATCTCAAGGTGTGAGATAGATTCATTTCCCATAGTAGGCAAGGCATTTCTCTCCACTTTGCCCTCTTTTTTTGGTACCAGGGATTAAACTCAGGGGCACTTGACCACTGAGCCACATCCCCAGCCCTATTTTGTATTTTACTTAGAGACAGGGTCTCACTGAGTTGATTAGTGCCTCGCCCTTTCTGAGGTTGGCTTTGAACTTGTTATCCTTCTGTCTCAGCCTCCCAAGCCACAGTCTTGTGCCATTGTGCCTGGCTCCACTTTGGATTTTTCTATTCTTTTTTTCCTATTAGAGAGACTGTGACCCCCATCAGTCACAATCCAGAAGAAATTGGCTTCCAACCTGGCTTTCTAGAGAATAGGGTGATCTGTTCCAAATGAACAATCCATGAAGCTTTTCTTATCTCAATTTGACAGGAAATAAGACCAAAGAAAGAAGTTACATCCTGAACCCCTGATCTGACTCCCAGACAGTGATCACGACATTCCAACTTCAAAGCAGCCTTTGGAGAGAGTTTCTTTAAGCCATAAACTTGCTATCACAATCACCCCCACTCCAAGATGAGTAGGACCTGTTGGAGTCACAGCTCTGCTGGTAAAGTCTCCTGCCCTCCTGGACTGTGTCCTGCCCAGGTCTCTCACCTCAGTTTTTATGTGGCCAACTGGGATGCCATCCAAGGAAATTGGAACATAAATTTTCAGGGCCAGCTCCTGCAAGAAGAGAATTCACTTCTATAACATTCACTGAGTTCTGCAGTTGGCAGGGCTCTGGGTTCACTTGGAGAGTGATAAGGGGGAAAGGACCTTAACAAATCCAATGGACCCTACCCTCCCACAGGGAGCCCAGAAGTAAGAAGTGGGATAATTCACTTACAGAAGCTAGAGTGTACTGAAAGCAAGGATATTAATAATAGCTGTGATGGTTTAGAAACATGTCCACAAATTCTTTCCTGCTCTTCTTATCAAAAGAAGGAATCTAATTCTCCTCCCTAGATTTAGAATCTTGCTTTTAAGAAATAGAAAGTGATACTGTGTGTTTTCCAAGGCTAAATTACAAATGGTGAGACACCCAACATCTAGCTTTTTTCTGGAAAACCAGGAAAACCAGACACCACATTGAAAGGAAGCTGGGGCTACCCAGAGTAGCCTGTGTAGGTATATGCTTGGCATTCCCAGCTGAGAGCCAGCATCAATTGCCAGAGGCATGAATTAACATGGTTCTAAACTCCAGCTTTTGTATCTCTCTGGTTATGAGTTATCTTCACCACGTTATGACCAAATTATAGATTCATGAGCAAATCAAATGTGTGTTAAGCTCCTAAAATTTGAGGTTGGTTGGTTATGCAGCAATAGATGACTAGAACCATACTAAAGTATATTAATTATTTACTAATAACCAAACATTATGCTAATTATGTTACAGGATTATAATCATATTTAATCCTCCCAGCAATCCAATTAGGTAGATATTATGAGATTTCCATCTGACAGAAAACTGAAGCTCAGCGACTGAGTGACTTCCCTGAATCAGACTTTGTTGATGGCAGAAACAGAATAGGGGCAGTTGTGTGCTAGTAAATAGTTAACAACTAGTTTTCTGGAAGCAAGCCCCCTGCTCTGTTGTAGTTTCTTTTGTGTGTGTGTGTGGGGGGGCAGTGAAGGGGATTGAACCCAGGGACTTGTGCATGCGAAGCAAACACTCTACTAACTGAGATATATCCCCAGCCCCTTGTAGTTTCTCTTTTATCAGGACTGAGGCAGGAAGACTCAAAGCATAGGTCATATTGAAAAATTGACTTGGGAGTGGGGGATGGAGAGGGAAGTGGAGCCCAGTCTGACCTTAGCATGTGGGGCTCCAAGAAGGGAGGTGGGCTGATGGCTCCTTTTCCTCTTCTGGTCCTTCCCTTTTGGGAAACCCCTGTGTTAGAAAAATATCAAGTCTGTTAGATTGGGAGTCCCCCACCCACCCAAGAAGGCAGCTTCAGGAGGGGAACAATTTCCTAAAGCTATCTCCTACATGTCTCCTTTCCACATCCTACCCTTCTTTCTCTTGGTAAGGAGCCTCCTGAAGTTGGCTGTGGCTCCTGAGAGGCTAATTCCCCTGGGGACCTTACCAGAGTCCCCATCCTTTGGACATGCAATGGGAATAAAAATTAGTGCACATTTCCTAATTTCCACAAATTTCAAGCTGATTCTCTCCCCTACTCCCTTCTTTCTTTCTTTTTAAAGTACCAGGGATTGAAACCAGGGACAATCTACCACTGAGCTTCATCACCAGCCCTTTTTCTTTTTCTTTTTTTTTTCCCGGGGGGAGAGGGGATCAGTTACCAGGGATTGAACTCAGGGGCACTTGACCACTAGGCCACCTCCCCAGCCCTATTTTGTATTTTATTTAGAGACAGGGTCTCACTGAGTTGCTTAGCACCTTGTTTTTTTGCTGAGGTTGGCTTTGAACTCGTGATCCTCTTGCTTCAGCCTCCTGAGCTGAGATTACAGTCATAGGCACCACGCCCAGCTGACCTTGAATTTATGATCCTCTTAAACAGATGGGATTAGAGACATGCACCACCATGCCTGGATTGCAGCTGATTCTTAACTCAAAAACAAACAACAAAAATTTCAAAGGATTCTAGAGTGCTCTGTAGGGAAAAAATACTTTGTCCAAGATACAACTTTATCAGAAAGAGAATTATGATGAATCACTCTTTCAAGATAATATTGTCCAAACTCATAAATTCTTTAAGGAAGAGAATTCTTTTTCTTTTTTTTTTGGGGGGGGTATCAGGGATTGAACTCAGGGGCACTTGCCCACTGAGCCACATCCCCAGCTCTATTTTGTATTTCTTTAGAGACAGGGTCTGACTGAGTTGCTTAGTGCCTCACTTTTTGCTGAGGCTGGCTTTGAACTCACAATCCTACTGCTTCGGCCTCCCAAACTATTGAAGTTTCCAATTTCTCAATGCAAGCATGCCAGCTGTTTCTTTCTGGGACCCTCTCTGCTATAATGTCCAAACAACTCATATTTCTATCACCTAGGAACTCCTGGTTGTGTGCCACTGTGCCCAGTAGGGGATTCATTTTTGATATACAAGATTAGGAATATTAAAAGCATGCCATGTAAAATTATCAAAAAGATACTACAATGAGAAGACTTAAGCTTTCCTGAAGTCTTGGGCTGAATGGAGTAGGGGATTAGGAGTAATTGAAGGGGATTACAGCACACAGCAGGACATAGTTTAAATTGGACCTCTGAGGTTACTGCTCCTCAAGCCTTTGGCTGGAGTGACACAGGGAGGTCATCCTTACAGCAACTGTCTTCTCAGGCCTGCACCTCCTAGACTCCATTAACTCTGCTCCTTAAGTCTCAGGGTTATCCCAAGCCTGATTTCCAAGGGATCAGAGAAAACTGCAGATCTGTTCTTGGGGCTGGGGAGTATTGCTCAGTGATAAAGTACATGCTTAACGGGCATGAGGTCCTGGGTTCAAGCCCCAGCATCAAAAAATTCTATCTCAGGGCCAAGCTGTAGCTCACTGGCAGAGCTCTTGCCTAGCATGCATGAGGCACTGGGTTCGATCCTCAGCACCACATAAAAATAAACAAATAAAATAAAGGCATTCTGCTCATCCACAACTACAAAAATTCTTTTAGAAAATATTGTATCTCTCTTGTTATGACAGAACCTTTTTTTTTTTTTTCCTCACAGCATTGGGGATTGAACCCAGGGGCGCTTCACCACTGAGCTACATCCCCAGCCCTTTTTATTTTTTTATTTTGAGATAGCACTTTGCTAAGTTGCCTAGGCTGGCCTGTGATCCTTCCTGAGTTGCTGATACTATTGCCATGTACTACTTATACCCCAGTAGGGGTGCGGAGGTGAGGGTGGGGGTTAAAACCGTATTTTCTTCCTTTGAAAAAATTCCTACAAGGATTTGATTAAATACATCCGAAATGGAAGAAAATGAGCAGCTGGGTCTCCCTCCTTCTGTTCACCCCTAGATCCCTCTGCTAGAAGCACTCACTATAAATTGTTGTTGTCACTTTTCAGAAATATTCTATGTACATTATTGCCCCCCACACAAACATGCAAACTCACGAGCACATGCACACATCCACAACCTTCAGACTACTTGACCTACCTGAAGTGGTTATCCCAGTCCTCTCTCTCTCCCCTCCCCCTCCCCCTTCTCTTCCTCCATTCTACTGGACAGCTTGCTTGGCTACAGGCATGAGTGGCTCTCTTTGTTCTCCTGTCTCACTGCTCCTTTGAAGAAGCCTTTTCTGATTCTGTTTTATCTCTCAATCTCTAATTGGAGGTCCCCAGGGCAGTGACCTCCTCCCCTTGTCTATCTGCACTCACTCCCTAAGACATCCCTCCTTTGGCCCATGGCTTTGTGTGGCCTCTTCACTGCTGGCCCCTGCATATCACCACTGATGCTCCACACTTCCTGGCTTGCTCCATGCTAGGAACTGACCTGTACTGGCTGCATCAATGGGCTTCCTTGGCCTTTGGCTTCCCTGGGCTTTGGAGGAGACTGAGGTCAGGATACACGTTCTGCCTGTGGGATTGCGGTCGACTGGATGTATTCCTCTACCCAAGCCACCTGGCTTCCACCAAAGGCCTCAGCTCCTATTAGTGGGCCACATCCAAATATATATATCAAAGAAACTAATAATCCCCTTCCCTGGATGAGGTCACACAAGTTTGAATGTTGTCCTCTCCATTTAACTTTTTTTCTGTCCTCAAGTTTCCAGCAACATCCTCTTCTCCCTTCTTCAGAAATATGGATGTCTAAGTCCCACATCTTAGTAGCCCTGGGATCTCCGAGTGTCCTCATGGCTTCTCATTTTGTTTGTGTTTTCAGTACTGGGGATTGAACCCAGGGACACTCTACTACTGAGCTACATCACCAGCTCTATTTTTTTTTTTTTTTTTTAATTTTGAGAAAAGTTGCCTGGGCTGGCTTTGAACTCTTGCCTCAGCCTTCCAAATTGCTCCTCTATACGCTACTATGCTTTGTAAAGATTAAAGACTCCTTCTATTATGCTGGGCGCTGTGGCACATGCCTGTAATCCTAGCTGCTGGGGAGGCTGAGGCAGGAGGATCACGAGTTCAAAGCCAGCCTTGGCAAAAGCAAGGCACTAAGCAATTCAGTGAGACCCTGTCTCTAAATAAAAAATATAAAATGGCCTGGGGATGTGACTCAGCAGTTGAGTGCCCCCTGAATTCAATCCCTAGTACCCAAAACAAACAAAAACTATCCTTTTATTAAACTCTCTTCAAATTTCTCAATTTAAGCATGCCAGATGTTTCTTTCTGGGACCCTCTCTGCTATAATTTCCAAACAGCTCATATTTCTATCACCCAGAAACTCCTGACCCATAAGCAGCTCCCAGTCAATAAAAATCTTGCACATTCTCCCCTATCCTGATAAAAGCTAACCCCATGTTTACAGTTACATAGTCACTAGACTTCTTTCACACCTACATCTGGTCTCTTAGCAAATTCTACCAGCTCCCTTATCAAAATGCATCCAGGAGCAGAACACTGCTTGATGTCTCCTCCCACTCTGGTTCAGGCACCATGATCTCTCAGAGGGATTACTGCAGTAGCCTGCTCCCTGGCCCCCCCTTCTTCCCTTGGAGTATGTCTCCACTCAGTAGCCAGAGGGATCTTTTGCAACCTGTCAGATCATGTCACTTCTTTGCTCAACATCCTTCAAAGTCTTCCCATTTACAAAAGCCCCACAAGGACCTACAGGGATATACCTGCCCCCCACCTCCCATACCCCTCCAACTTCCTTTTACCATGCTGCTCATTACTCCTTTGGCTTCAGCTACTCTGGTTCTCTGCTCTCCACATGCCAAGTAAAAACCTGTCTTGCATTCACTATACTGTCTGTCTGGCAGGTATATGAAGTTTTCTAACCTTGTTCTGTCAACTTGGAGAGGCCTCCTTTCTCCATAAGAATTTACTACCTTGGTGCATTCCCCATGAGCCCATACCCTTTCTTTTTCAGGGCCTGTTTTCTTCACTGCCATATCTCTAGTGTCTGCAATGTGCCATGCATTTTGTAATAGGTCAATATATATTGGTTGAACACATATACATCTTTAAAAATTGACCATAATGAAGAGCACAGGAATTGGGAGGGGGCTCCTGGGTTTTGTTCCCCACTATGTATCTTGGGCATTTGGCTCATGAATAACTTAAGTTGCCTGGTGCCTCGCCCTTGCTGAGGCTGGCTCTGAATTTGTGATCCTCCTGTCTCAGCCTCCCAAGACACTGGGATTATAGGCGTGTGCCACGGTGCCTGGTCTCCCATGTCATTTTTAAAACAGTTTCCTACACATAGTCAATCTTTGGCATTTCAAACAACGCCTCTAAAAACCACTGTATGCATTTATCTTCTTTTTTCCCCCTGTGTACTGGGGATAGAACCCACGGCCTTGCTCTTTTTCATAGTAGATAAGTGCACTATCACCGAGCAACGCCCACGGCTCTTTTTATTTTTTCTTTGAGGCAGGGTCTCACAGTTTTCCAGGCTGCCCTGCGATTTGTGATCCTCCTGGCCTCTCAGTCTATCCTGAGGAGCTGGGATTACAAGAGTACGTGACCACACCCGGCTTATCCTCATATTTGTGTCCATGGGTTAACTCTTGAGATGTGAAGTTGTGAGGTCAAAGGGCATGTTCATTTAAAATTCTGATCATATTTGCAAATTGTTTTCCAAACAGGCAGACGCAGGCAGTTCTCCCTTCTTGTCAACAGCGGGGGGAAAAAAAATACAACTATTGCCCCATCTGCTCCAGCATCATGTATTTATCAGACTCTTTGATCTTGGTTAATAGGGATCGGTATCTCTGGGTTCCATCGGCATTCCTCTAATACGGGAGAGGGCGGCATCCTTTCCAAGGAAA